AAAAAAAAAAAAAAAAAAAAAAAAACAACAACAACAACAACAACAACAACAACAACAACAACAACAACAACAACAACTGAACAGTGAACTCGTGACCTTTACTTTTTTGCACCTATCTACTATTGCCTGCTGGCGAAAATATTTGTGTCTCTGGAGCCCTTTGGTTACTGTCCCCCAGGTTTGTGGTTACTTACGCCCTTGTCCCCTTCGTATTGAGTTTTCCCTTCCCCTGATCCAGCTGTGTGTTCTCTATTTGTGGTTCGGAGGGTTCCCCTTTGCAGTCTCCACTCAGTAAACCCCTGCGTGCTGCATGCTCGCAGGCCTTGATCTTCCCGCTAGTGCAATTACCGGTAGTAAGTGCCTAATTCTACTCGTCTTCCTTGATCTTCTTTTTGTCGTTATCCGTCTTGCTGACCTTCTTGGGACACTGGACTCTGTGGAGTCTGTGTGGCCTGTGGTTTATTTTTTCCATCCACTCTTGGGATTTTAGTTTTTCCTCCCGTATTGTTCCTGCAGTAAACCGCGTTCAGCAGCGGCCTGGGCGCTGTAACCCAAGCCCAGGCCCAGCGAGCAGTGCGACTACGCGCTGCTCGGCCTCAGGCCGCTGCGGGTGACTGTGTGACCGCGCACAGCAAGAAATTCAAAGGTCAAAGTGAACTGTAGGTCAGGAACCTCGCCCAGGCCCTTGGTCGTGTGCATCGACTTGTATGAGTGCAGGTACCCAGTCAGAACGGTGGACCAAGGAGGATACAGTTTCAACCCAATCCAGGCCGTCGACGACAAGTGATCTCGGCCGTGTCTGACTTGAGGACTGGGGCCCAGACCCCGCCGTCCATATTGGGCTGATTTCCTGGCTTTGACATCTAGACTCTCGTCGGGAGTCTATGGGGACTCGACGCTCTCGCGTCAATGCCGGCTCTATGCTGTCTTGCTGGCGAGACGCTGCGGAGAACTTGACGACCGGCGCCCGTCGCTGGTTCGTGGCTTGAGTGTGCTGTGCGACCAGCATGCTGACTGGCGCACTACTATCTGAGGGGTTATCGACGTGGCAGATGCCACGTGTTATCTTCGTGGCTGCTGCCACGTAGTATTGCTGCTGAGATGGAAGGCGCTGGGCGCCTATATTGCTGTTCTGCTTGACAAGTATTCGGAAGAAGGATCCAGGACTGTGGTTTGGGTCGTGATACGTACCTGGTGTCTTCAACTTCGTCGTCACGTTGCTGCTTGATGACTGGTCTGCTGGTGCGACGTGGCACTATTGGTCTACATTGTCTTGGATATCCGGATCTCTGATTGAGACACGATTATGCGGTTAGGAGGAGGAAGTGCCCGAAGAGGGAGTGGGCTGTAGGGAGGAGACTCTTCCACCCTCTCAAAGTCTATTCTCCCTCCTCCCTCTCTCGTCTGTGTATGCATTCTCTCTCATTTTGGGATCATTATTATTATGATTTATCAGCAGTGTTCGTCTATTTTGTCTTTGCGAGTGACGACTGATTATCACGACTGGGCACATTGCATTCCTATGAACTCTTGCCCCAGGTGCTGTTGGTTTTGAAGGCTGCTTCCAACTCCTTTTTCCTGCCATAGTTCTTCTTCTGAATTCTTATTGAACATAGTTTCCAGATTTTCCTGACCTCTATTTCTACTTCTGAAAACTTATTGAACATAGTTTCCAGATTGGCTAACCGCTATTCATTTCCATAATGTTTTAGGCAATAACTCCTATCCTGGTGTGCTCTTCTTCTTGCCCGGAGTCAGTCGGCAGTGCCTCTTCCACAGGGGCCAAAGAGTTGCTTCTTTTTTTTTTAACTAACCTATATACTTCTCTCGATATATCTCCCACTACCTACCTACCTAGTTGCAGCCTAGCAATCAACTACAGGGTTTTTTCGTGTCCAAGTTAGGAAATCTCTCCTAAGTTAAGAAGGCACAGCTAACCTCTGCTCTGTGCGGGGAGCAGTACCCAAGCTTCTAACACCAGGCGCGAGCTGGAAAGCGCATATGGTCGCTTCCCACCCAGCCAGGAGGCCCAAGCCAATTATCTCCGCTGGAGAACCCGAAGCGCATCACAGGAGGCTGTGGGGATAGAATGCATGACGTGGGGAATCGAACCCGCGACCTCCTGCAAACCACTTCTGTGCTCAAACCAACTGAGCTAGCCCGCTTGGGTAAGATTTGCTTTTTTCAATCAGCTGGAAAAAACGTTTTTCACAGGGCTTGTTTGCTTCTGGATTTTCATAGTTTGTTATCAGTTGTCTTCAATTGGCCTGTAGTTCTGTCTCAGTACCTCTTAGCCAGATTTGACCTATGTGTTCCTAGATTGGTTTTGCCTTAGGGCATGTTAGAAACCAGTGTATTAGGCCCTCCCCTTGTTGCAGTTCACAGATTTTACCAGATTTTACACCAACAAGATGCCTGTTATGTCCTTTTAGCTAAGTTAGCTCCATTTTCCTCAGATTTAGCCAGTCATTTACCAGGAGTGCCTGATAGGCTATGATGAGCCATAACAGGCTTGCTATCCTTGGTGGTCTGGTTGTGTGGATTATATCGTAGTCCATCTCGGCGTTTTGGTGTCCCTCCTCTGTTGTTATTCTATCCAATGTTTTTTTTTTTTTTTTTTTTAATAAAGAAAACACATTGCTTTATTCTATCCAATGTTTTGTTTATTGGCACATTGATTTCTAGGGGAGTCCTTCATAAACCACCAGTACTTCTCCAAGCCGTTTTTCTACGATGTGGCAGTGCTTGCACCGGGTCTGATGGAATGTACCGGCCTGATGGTCACAACAAAAACATCCAGGAAAACGCATTGCGTACACGGCCCGTTTTGCCTGGATGTATTTTTGCAAACTGGCAGGCCGGTACATCCTGCCAGACGCGGCGTGAACACTGGCGCCGGGTCGTAGAAAAATGGCTAGGAAAAGTAATGGTGGTTTAAACGGCATCCTAGTTTGGTGGTGAACTCTGCTAGAGTAAAATGTCCATCTCGTCTTTCCCCCAAGGCCAGTATGACTCAGTTGGGTCTATCTCTAACTTGCAATCAGACTCACTTTCACTTCCACTTCACATGCATGCAAACAGATAGAGATTCACACTGGCGCAGGGCGCCCACTCAAAGCTTAGAGATATGGAAATCAAGAACACAGTTCAGATGCAAGTTCACTTCAACAGGCTATGGCGCATCGGCGCCTGAACATCCCAACCTTCGTCACTGTGTCCAACCCCACTGTTCACACACGCTCACTCTGGATCACCCTGAATACCACCACACACACACACTTAGTCTCACCTCCTCCTACAGCGGCTATGGCCGCACAACCACTACTGACCATGGCTACGATCTCCCTTCAGCCCACTTCATCTTCGGGCAACCTGCAGGCCACCTTCGCACAGCCTTCCCAGGCCAAAAACACAGACTGAGAACACTGCTGATTTCTGGGATTTGCCGCTGGAATGAATGCCTTGCTGAAATTCCCGCATTCTGCTGTGATTTCCATGTCTGTGTGTGTGTCTGCGTGCCTGCTGGTTTGCATGCCTGTCTGAGTGCTTGTCGGTTGAGTGTGTGTGTGACCCGCAAGGGTACTTGTTGGTTGCAAGGCCCCGCAGGGCCGTGACTTACCTGTGGCCGTGACTGTGAAGGGTTGCAGGGGGGGAAAACACTCGAGTAGCGGGGTTAGGCCCGCGGCACTTAGAGCAGAGGGGAAAGATACTCAAGTAGCAGGTAGGACGGTACCACTCAAGTAGTGGTAGGAGTGTTGGGTACTGGAGGCCGAGCAGAAGAAGACAAAAAGTTGGCATTTTTAGAGGCCAAGTAGCGGTAGGATAGCGGTAGGCCGGTACCAGTCCAAGTAGCCCGGGTCTAGGGCCTGTACGGAGGATAGCAGAGCCTGCAATGATGTTTCCCTCCGAAAGGGAGGAGGTACCG